AGTCCGTACCGAGGGCTGCCCGGCCGAGTGGGAAGGGTGAGGAGGGGGGACGAGCTGCGGCAGGGCCGGGTTCTCCTTCCCGCCTCCTTGGCGTGGGCCAGGGCCCTTTGACAAGGTGAGGGGCCATTCCACGCGAGTGGTGAAGGGGGAGGGCAACGCAGCGAAAAGCTCTTGGGCCTGGTGCGCTCTGCACCTTGCTGTAGGTCAAACTCCAGCCTGTTGCTTGTCCTATGCAAGGCCGGGATTTTTTGCCCTTGCAGAGACAAGGGGCTATCCTGCTTCAAAATGTCCTCTGTAGCCTGCAGAACGTCTCGTTTTGCATGGTGCAGGCACAGGTTTCCCCTGTAGGAAGAGCTTTGTGCAAGAGCCCATATGACCTTAGGCTGCTGGAAGCCCAAGGACACATGCAGGCCGCTTGTGAAAGAGGATTCATTCATTTGTGCCTTGCTAGCTTTAAAAGTCTAGGTTATGTCTGTGCATTTAACAACTTTGAAATCCATTTTGATGGCTTTTATTTTTTCATTTCAAAATGTGTATCACTGCCTGCTGGTCTATCTGGCTTTTTTGTCACTGTTTTGCTACATTTTCTGTCAGTATAACGCATGCACAGGTTCACTGAATGATGTAGCTCTTTGCAATAACATCTCCTGAAAAGTGCTATCAAATTGCATGGCAGTGTTTGGTTCTGTACCGTTTATTGAATATCCAGCTATGCAAAGATTGCTGTCTTTGAAGGAAGACAAATGGCTTAGTAGATAATAGCCTTATAATCTTACAGACTATTGCATGGGAACAGCTGTGATCAAATGTTTCTTTTTTTTATAGCTTTTTTCCTCCTCTTGCAGATCCGTGCTGGATCAAGAGTCTTGTACAGACCAATTTCGGCATCTGTGTTGTCTAGGCCAGAGGTCAAGAATGGAGAGGTACCTTATAAACAAAATTCTGTATCTTCCTAAATTACCTGGTGAGCCTAAATGTCCTCAACCTAGAGTTCACTTGTACTAACTCAAATATCTATAGTGTGAAACTTGCTTTAAGTCAAACACCTAATAATACTTGTTGCTGTCTTGCTGTTTCCCCTGCGAAGTCTTTCACGTTTAAAGTTGATTGCTTTCAGGTGGAACAGGTAACATTCTGAAGTTTTTAACTCTTAGTTATAGTCTTATCACTTGGAAGAAGAACTAGACGTTGGATCTAATACAGCTTTTAAAACTGCAGAATAACACTATCAAAGTGGTCATAGAAAGTGGTCTGTGTCTGAATATAATGCTTTTTCATGTTTTGTTTTCTTAGGGCAACTCAACACTTAATGGGGCCCAAAATACTGTCTCCCGACTAGCACTTAGAGAATTCCAGACTAGTGCTATCAGCAGGGACATTGACACTGCTGCCAAATTTATTGGTGCTGGTGCTGCCACAGTAGGTGTGGCTGGTTCTGGTGCTGGTATTGGAACAGTCTTCGGTAGCCTAATCATTGGTTATGCCAGGTAATCGATCTCTCTCTCATAAAACTCTCGACTTGCATGCAGATGTATCTTGAGACAGCACCCCCAGATAAGCTAAGTTGTAGTAAGGATGTAATAAATTCTGTTAATAATTACTATTGATGATAAACGTGGCTAAATAGAATCATATGAAATTGTGGTATATACATAAGGATAGCTCTGTTGTTAAATTCATAACTTTGTACGCTCTACCTGGAGAAGAGACATGAAAAAATGAGATCATTAGACTTGGTCAGTGTTTTGGTCACTGAAGTCCAGTGTTTCAGCATTCAGTTCCACAACTGAGTTAAAAATCTAGCCTGGATCTTTTCCCATGTGAGAGAGGAGAAGTCACCTTTAAAGAGAAACTGTATGAAAACTGGTAATAAGTAACGTGAGTTTGTATGCTTTAGATTTCGTAGTCGGGATTGTTGTTTAGAAATGGATGCTTAATTCAGTTTTCTAACACATTCAGCTTTGCATCTCAGAATATGTAATTACTTTATCAAATGAATAATCATTCCTTCTAGAAATCTGAAGGAGGTGAGAGCGGGGATTTTACAGTAGGGATGAACTTCTTCCAGATAAGTTTACAATGTTCCTGTAGTAGGAATAGTTCACGTGGTATCATGGAAGAGCAGAACTGATACAGGCGTAAAAAAGCTTTACTGAAGGTTTCATGTTCTTTGTTACTCTTTCAACCAATTAAGACTTAATTAAGTCTTGTTTCTTAATAAAGATTTTTAAGCCCTACTGAAGACAAGGAAGTTCATTTTCCACTTGAAGAAACATAAGTGTTTTCAGTACAAAACTGATGTCTCCTTTTTTGAATTTGGCATGAACATGTCAATAAGAGGTTGTAGAACATTACTTCATAGTATTATGTTGAAGGGGTTTTTTTCTCCTCCACACACTTCTTGGAGGGATAATTCATTGCGTTTTTGCAACAAACTGCTGTGTATTTCTTTTTTTGCTTTAGGTGTGGTTTCAGTTCCTGTATTTGTCTGAGAGCCACTTGAAGTGTTATACACAAACTTCCTTGGCATATAGTTTTAATGTCACAGATGTGTGTTTATTATAAAATAAATTTATAAAGCGTAGTGCTGATAGGAGGATGTAGAGAAGTCAAATTCAAAAGTGTATATGAATGTAGTCGCAAAAACTCTGCTATTTGGAGAAGCCATATACAATCTGCATAACCTGAATCTAGTCTTAATTGCCAACTCATTTGTCTTCAGTGAAATCCTTGCTAAAAATTACTTCTGCTTGGATTTATTGGATTTTTCCTGTAATGGAATCTGTGGCAAGGAAGTATGAGGTTCTGAATCTGTCAGATGCATTATACTGTATGAAAAACATCTTAATTGTAAAGATAAAAAGGTCTTACACCTTCGCTTTCTTTTAGAAATCCTTCTCTGAAGCAGCAGCTGTTCTCATATGCTATCCTGGGATTCGCCCTGTCTGAAGCTATGGGTCTCTTCTGTCTGATGGTTGCTTTCTTGATCCTATTTGCCATGTGAAAGGAGATCTGCCTGTAATCTTGGCATTGGAATGTAACTCTGCATTTTATGGGACTCCCAAAATGTTGGTGTCATGGAAATTGATGCTATTTCCAAAGTCATTTCATTAAAGATAACAACTTTAACTGTCAACCTGTTGCCTGCATTTATTACCTTTCTCATTAGGGTATCTGGAAGACAGCATCTTGTCGTTCAGTCACTGTGGGTTTCTCCTGATAATGACATGTCACATAGGACCCTTCAAACAATGACTTCAAGTCAAACATTTTATTTATTAATATATATGGGCAGGTCACTTGTTTGTTAAAATTAATGGCGTATCTTTGAAAGAGCGAAGGATACACAGGTTAAATGTGAAAGGCTATACTGCTGGCCTTGTTCCTTCACTTGTGTTTCAAGCTTACCCAGAGCTGTTTCTGTGCACAATTTGTTTTTTTTCCTCAGGCTAGCTGGCACATAAGGTGTTCTGGCACCTTTTGATAGAAGGAGCTAAACACAAACCCACAAACAGTGATAGGAAAGTTCTCTTTGCATCAGTTTTCAGTTACACTATAAATTTTGATCACCGTGGTAAAAGTTTTCCACTTGGTTCTGACCAGTGTCTCAGTTGAACTAAACTAACGACTGCTTTAGGTTGGTCCAAGGCATTTAATTGTGGTACACTGATATTATACTCTTACTTAGTTACTGCATTCTGGGCATCACCTAATTAAAAGGAGAACTTCCACCTTACTGATTTTGTAAAGTCAGCCTTGTGTTATCTCCCAAATTCTTTTAAGAGCAGTAGGATCAAAGCATTTTTAATAACAAAATATCTGCAGTGTCAAGCTTTGCTTCTCACAGTATCTACCTTTTAGCAATCTAAATGCACTTACGGTGTTGTCTGTACTTAAGCAACATACTGTGTGCTACTATATACTAATCTGGTGTGGGGGTTGATAGCATCTCAAACTTTATTCAGAATATTAAATAATCAATCTGATCATTCGACAAATACAAGCTGAACTTTGGAAGAACGTGAGCAAGGTTCTTACGAGCTTTGTCATCTTGCTGTTAAATGGGTAATTACTGAATTAAATCTAGGAAACTTCTTACTGTAAGCTGCCTGTCCCTAGGGAAAATGGAGAAATGACTAGTGGCTCTCAGATCAGTGCAAGGTGCAGGTAAGACCTTTGTTTTCATCTGAATTCAAATACCAAATTGGTGTTCATAGAGATATGGTTCGGTGGTGGACTTGGCAGTATTAGGTTTACGGTTGGACTTGATCTTGAAGGTCTTTTTCAACCTAAATGATTCTGTGATTCTATGATTCGTGTAGCCTAACTTGGACCTAGCATGAGAAGTTACTTTCCCCATATGTTCTTAGGAGAAAATAGTCATCTTCCCAAAAGGATTAAAAGTTACTGTGTAAATGCAGAGAACATCCTTTCACACATACGACGTTCAGGAGTGCAGACTATGCAGCATCTTTAAATATTCAGCTCTAGCACAGTATTAGTGGTGCCTTATATGACTAGGTCTG